GAATAAGAGAGAAACACTGATCAGCTGCCTCCTGCACACCCCCCACTGGGGAGGGCCCGCAACCAACGATACATGCCCTTGACCAGAATCGAAACTGGGACCCCGCAGGCCGATGCTCATCCACTGAGCCAAACCGGTCAGGGCCGGATTCTTTTTTCATTTTGCTTTTCCGGTGGGTGTTTTTTGCTTCTTCGCATTTCAAATCTTTGGCTTGATTCTTGCGCTCCTCTGGTCTGCTATTGGGTATAATATTCTTTATTTCAGTCCGTGTATGCTTAATTTCTAGTTGGTTCTTTATCATAGCATCGAGGGTCTCATTAGTTTTCGTGAGGCTCTCATCAAGTTTATTGCAAGCCCTCAAAATTGCGATTTTTAGCTCCATATCCTCCATTTCTGTCATTTTTTTTGTCTCCGCATTTTTTATGCTTTCTTGGTGCACCCCCTTGTGGTCTTTGTGCGCAGTCTTGTTCTAGTTAAGCCTTGATTGTTGTAGTTAATACTAGAGGGATTTGACCACCAGGCCGACTGGCTGTGAGAATCAGCTGTGACTGCCCGGAAAACTTCTGTCCTCTGGGGAGGTGCTAATCTAGCCTTTGCCTGAGGCGATCTGGCAAATGGCTCTGCGCAGGGCTTGGGCGGGGGCGGGTTGCACGGGATCAACAGCGCGGGCGGAGGGAGCAGTTATGGCTGCTCTCAGTCCCGTTCCCAGAGGCTCTGCTTCTCAGAACCCCAGCAACGGCTGCAAACCTCGGAGAGAAAGCTGCCCTCACGTTCCAACTGATGCCAGACAATCCTGCTTCTCCCGTTTGAGTCTGAGTCCTTAGAGACTCTCCCGGATCTGGAGCTCAGAGTCTGAGACTCCCTCCTGATTGAAAACGACAACCACACCCTCAGCCACCAGCCCGCTTTGCGCGCGCACCACTGCACCTTTATATTTTCCACACTGCGCCTCCTCTGAGCCTCGGTATGCTGTTGTCTTTCCTTCTAGTTGAAGAGTCTCTCCTCAGCCAGCCTTCCTGTGGTTCTGGGTGATGTCCGTTCCGTCTTTTAGTTGTATTTTTGAAGTGGTTGTTTGCGGCAGCAATCTCCGGTGTTTACCTATGCCGCCATCTTGGTCTCAGCTATTTATTTTATTTTCAATATCCTATCTTCCCATGACGGTGCCGCATGACATCACGCGCTGACATCACACGATGCGGTGAGTGACGTAGGCTGTGGCGTAGCGTTAGGCAGCGACTGACCTCCTGATGACAAGGAACTTCGGTGGTGAGTCCAAACTGCCAGCATCACTATTCTTGAGCTTTGGGGCCATGAGAAGTAAAATAAAGAGGACCTGAACCTAAGTACTGTCTCTGCTACTGACAACCTGAGAGCCCAAAGCCCAGGTTCTTACCTGCACATGATGCTGCTACAAAAAGGGTGGAGAAGAAGAGGGTGGAAACACAAAGTTTTCTTTATGGAAACAGTGAGGGAAAATAAGCCAAAAAATTCAAAGAAAGCAAACCAGGAGAGAAGTAGGAAGACAACATGATAAGAACAAAACAAACTTGAAAGAAGTAAGAGAAGCTATTAAAAAGGGGAGAATGGCAGCAGTCTCTTACACAATGGCTTCATGATGGGCTCTCTCTGCCAGCATTATCACCTTCTTTTCAGCTTCCTGTTCTAGTCGGTGCTAAAGAAGAAAATAGTCTGTTTTAATACAGAGTTATATTTCTAACAACAAATTTACACATCAAAAAGTTAAGTATTTTATAATGTCAAAATACTCCTGTCCACATGACCTGATGTGAACTCCACCTATTGATAGAGGAGTCAGAAGAATAATGTGAATACAGGAACCTTAGGGTACCTCCCAATCTCATTTAAAGAAACAACATGACAAATAAATAGGAAAAAAATTCCACATTATTATGGCAAAGCAGAGCTGAGAGAAATTTCTGCTAAATAAATGAGGAGAGTCAGTATCTATGAGAGGGATGAGAGTCATTATTCATTCATTTAACGAATTCCTATGGAGCAATAATAGTATACCAGGTTTTTTAAACACTGGAGATTCTGTGGTGAACTAAACAGATAGGGTCCCTGCTCTCATGGAGATTACATACTATGATTGGACCCAAACAATAATAATAATTAAAATGTACATCATGTGTACCAGAGTGACCGCTCCAATCCCACCTCCCCTATATAATGAGGTACATGCATCTTTAGTTCCACCAGGGAAACACCAAACTGAGGGAGATATGTCTGAAAGCATTGGTAAGATGACAATCTCACTTGGGGGTTTCAAGAATCTCTAACTGGGAAGGGAAAAAAGACTACACATTGAGATATCTAAAATAGGTTTTATTTTCCCTATTTTTTATTCTACTGTGATTTTATAAAAAACAAAACAAAACTAACAAGGTACCAAATGGAAGGTTGATATCTCAGAGTGCATGTAAATACATTTATGTTGTTCTGGTAAATGAAAGAATTTAAGTTAACCTTAATATGTCATACCTTTTCTTTAAAAAACCTGCTTTCCAATTTTCTAAGCGTCTCTTGATGTTTCCGCTCCGTGTTCCTTAAATTCTCCTTCAGCTAAATTAAAATAGCAAAACAAAAAGACAACAACAACAGAAAACCTGGTCAATAGGAAATGAAATTGGGGTTGATTGAGGCATATTCCTAGGAAATTCTCAGTAAAGAAACATTTTCTGTTATACTTTACCTCTTAATCCTGAACACACAGAAAAACTCCAAGTCTTTGCCTGTGAGTACTATATTTCCCCCAGTCTTCTCTAGATTTACATGATCAGTATTGAGTTCCTAAAAAACCTTTCATGAATAACAGTTCTCAAAACATTCAGACAAGTTATCCTCATAATCATATTTTCTAAATATCTTTCATTTTAACCATGTGGACACAGAGAATCATATTTTACAACTGAAAGAGACCTGAGGAGTCAGACTATATAATCTCTCAATTAATATGGAAATCCCTCCTATGAGAAGAACATTTAGAAACAGAATATCATTAGTTCAAATCCCATTAATTCACTAAGCTGACCTTTAATAGTTCTTATTTTTAGAAAATTCTTCTTAGTATTGATCTTAAAAAACATCTCCTTATGATTCCCACAGATGAATCATTCTGTCCTCTAAAACTATCTACACTAATAAAGGAGAAATATGCAAATTGACCATACCTTTGCAATGCCCACCAGCCAATCAAGAGTATGCAAATTAACCCAACTAAGATGGCAGGTTAATTTGCATATGCAGCCGCTGAGTGGCTGGGGTGGGATGCTTGCATCGTCACCATGGTGACAACACAGGCATTCAGCACCACCTCAGCCACTCTGGGCCTCTGGGCAGCTTGGGAAGTTGGAAAGGTGGCTCCAGTCCGGAGTGAAGGTGGTTCCAGCAGCCAGGGGAAGGAAGGCCCATTCTTGCATGAATCTGTGTGCATCAGGCCTCTAGTATATAATAAAAAATACATTAAAAAATTTTTAAATATATTTTTGTTGATTTCAGAGAGGAAGGGAGAGAGAGATAGAAACATCAATAATGAGAGGGAATCATTGATTGGCTTCCTCCTGCATGCCCCACTCTGGGAATTGAACCCACAACCCAGGCATGTGCCCTGACCATGACCTCTTGGCTCATAGGTCAATGCTCAACCACTGAGTCATGCCAGCTGGACAAAAATGAAATAAAATTCTTCTAGGTAAAGAAAGTAGAGCTAATTTAAAGCTATGATCTCACCTGGCCAGTGTGGTTCAGTGGTTGAGCAATGACCTATGGACCAGGAGATAAGGGTTCCACTCAGGTCAGGGCATATGACCAGATTGTGGCCCAATCCCCAGTAGGAGGCATGCAGGAGGCAGCTGATCAATGATTCTCTCTCACCATTGATGTTTCTCTCTCTCCCTCTCCCTTCCTCTCTGAAATCAATAAAAATATATTTTTTTTAAAATTAAAAAAATAAAAATGTCCAACAACAAGGGACCAATTAATAATCATGATACATTTACTCATAGAATTTCATTTATCTAGTCACAGGATTTTACAGAAAAATATGTAATGGCATTGAAAAATGCTCACAA